ATCATTCTTAACTGACTGAACTGAGTGGTATTGTAAATATTCAATATTTATTAGAAGACACAGATGCAACTCAAAGAAGGAAGATGAGGACAGTGAAACCACCACAAGATTATGCAGAAACATGTAATGCCAATGGCAAGCCTACCTACACACAGATATCCTATTGCCTTGGAGAGGCTACATAGAATAGAGATTAGACAGACTTAGAAAAATAATAATAATATTCAAAATATAATAATATTCAAAAATATTGAAAGGCCTTCAAAGGGTACACCTTGGGCAGCGCAGGAGCTTTGCAGAGGCTGCATTCAAGATGCATGATGGTCATGAATTTTTCATACAGATATGTCTGGTGTATTTGCATATCAGAGGTTAATTGTCCAATTACAGCTTCACTTAACAAAGTCATTTACTCCAAGTTTTCCCACAATCCACTGTTTTTTATATTTTTGGGGGCCTGAGACAGTAATGGGTCTTTGAGTTTCAGGCCTAGAGAGAAATGGTTTTGTCTGAATAAAATGGGAGAACAGTAGCTGACAGGCTATGGAGTCTTAAAGTTATACACTAAAGCAGTACTGATCTGAAAAATATAAAAGCTACAATTTAAGGCATCAATCTTACAGCTAAATCTGCATCTGCCTAAAGGATGGAACTGGAACTAGGGCTATCATAACCATCACTTGTGTCGACATGGAATACTCCTTGCTAGAGCGAGATTCTTCTATTAATAAGATGCACAAAACTGTTCTAGAATTTGCCTCAACATACAGGGCAAACATCTCCTTGCAAGGGCAAATGATGGCCCTCAGATGGCTTGTTTATGCTGGTGATGTGTCTGAGAATGTAGCCTATATGGAATACATTCCTTTTTGGTACAATTATATCTGGGTCTGCAAAACCAGGGGTGGCACCACAGTTTCTTTATAGAATATTATGAATCAAGCCAATGGACCCTGAACTGGCACTCATGCACTCAGTGTGAGGCCGGATGAACTCTGACACTTAAACAAACATGGGCTCTTAGAAGGTGTGTGTGTGAATTCTAGGGCAGTATCCCAGCTGTGTGTCCTTCAGCACACAGCAAAAAGGTACAGCTATTTGCAGGGCCTGTTATCTCACATAAGATGCTGATCCTTTTGTTCTAGCTCCTTTTTCTGAAGATTTTCAAACAAGGATGTTATGTCTACTCCAGTGTAAGAGGCTTGATTATCAGTGCACTGATGACAGCAGTGGTAATGGTGGTGCAACTAAGGCTGACTCTGAAATTGTTTAGATTTGCTGGAAAATCCTGTGCTGCAAAGCTCTACAGTCTTAATATCTGGCAGTTTCAATGTTTTGATGAAAGTCAGAGGTGCTTAGAGCTTCTGAGGATCAGGTTTCTCAATTACTTGGGTAATTTGCATTTGAAAACATTGCTTTGAAAGGTCTGGCCACAACACTCTGTTGTACTCTAATGAGACTAGGAAAGGCTTTTTGACTGTCTTGCACCACTCTAATGAGTGTATGTGTAAGCCTGTAATTTATTTTTTTTCTGGTCTCAAGTGACAAACTAATTGGAACATAGGAAGGTAATTTTTATGGTCCCAACTTTTTGGATGCAGTTACAGTTTCCTTCTCTGTACATCACCAACTTTTTGCAATCCCCTTGATAAGACAAGTGTAGAAGATCCATCTTCCACAAGCTAAATTAAAGGTACCTCCATGAGAGTGATAGTCTTGTGGAATATAAACGCATAAGCATGCAAATCACAAAGACATTTTGGATCTCTTGAAAAAATTCAGAGAAATAGAAATGTCATAGTTATAATATTGCTAGAAGAGTTTTGAAAATATAGCACTATGTAGGACAGCTATGATGTTTGCTGTCCCCAGTGGGAGTAAGGATGAAATATGAACTCACTCCTGATTACACAACAGAGCATCCACAAAACAAAACAGAAGTGTCACAATCATTGCAAAAATTTCACTATGAGATTGTGCCTAAGTTGATGCTAGAGAATCTATTTATTAGTTCACTGCTCTGGTTTCACTGAGCTGTAACAAGGGCTGAAATTTTAGTGGAACTCATTTGAAAAGTGTTCCTCTATTTCCTGGTTATTGTTAGAAAATATTTCCATAATTTCCATAATTTTGTAAAAATGCTAATTTTAGGTCCATTTGGATTGTGTACAACTTTTTCTGTTACAGATTTCTGTCCCATGAATGTGACAGACCTTGTTTAAAGAATCTAGGGTCTCCTGAGGAAAACCTCAACTTTTTTCAGTACTCAGGTAGGTTGTCACCCAGTCCTAGGGAAACCTAGGCACCACTCCAGCTTTGAGCTCCATCCAGGCCAAAGGTACGGTTATACTGGCACTCTAAGACTTCTGTTGGTGATCCTGTGATTACCAGGCCTCGTAACACCCTTCAGTGGAAACCGTAAAAAAGGCACTTAAAAACCCCTTTAAAGCCACAATGGATTAAAACCGCCTTTGTCCTCTCAAAGACAAGACAATATCTGTGGAGACATTTTCATAATATTGAGCTTCTGCTCCTATTGAGAGAGACAACCTTTAATTTTGGAGAAAAGAGCAGACTAGAAGGGAGTTCTGTTTTTTCAGATCTTGTCCAATTCGCTTCAAAATCCCAAGTGTGCAATTAGGTACTGCTGACTCTTAAGATAGAGGAAGTATCACCTTAATTACTGGTCAAATCTTGCCAGGAAACTATACAGATTATTTCAAGCCAATTTTAGAAATATTAATTAGAGAAAAATGAAGGATAAACCTAGAAGAAGTGGCAATTTAGTGTTTTTTATATATTAGCGTGTTTTTAGATATTTTACCATTCTTTACTCTGCGTGACTACTGCTTCACAAAAATAAGATATGCTTTACTGTTGAACGGCTACTAAAGCAAAGAAATGTCCCAGCAGCTGCAAGTTTAACACAGAGGTTGAATTCAAGGTCATTCCTCTGACTCAAATGAAACAAGATGGTTACTCCAATGAGAAGAAGGAAGGCAGTGATCCTGCTTCCCTGGGACTCTGAGTGACCACCTAATCCTGAATAATTATAATCTTGGGATGACAGTGCTTTAAAATCACTGCCTTTCAGTTGCATACACTTACAGTAAAATAAAAAAGATAGGTCTTTCTAAAGATTAAACTATTATGCTTTGAATACATATTTTCAATTTAAACTTTAATTTTACATATATAATATTTAGGATACTTTATCAAGGAGATTGCAGGGGTTATTGCCACTTCCTATTTACTTTGAAAATTTTTGGGACAATATTCATCTTGATTGATTTGATTCAACAGTTAAGACTTTATGTTAAAAGCTACAAGTGCTGCATTAGCCAAGAAAGTCTCCCTTCGACGGCTCTGGTTCCTGCAGGAGAACCAGAGATACAAACAGTCACAGACCTTGAAGACACGTAACCATGTCTGTCCTTATCAACATCAATGTGAAGTTACATATGTTAGCAAAATATGTGGATATAGGCCAGGGTAACATCAAGGGACGTTTGCCAGGTCCTAATTGAGCAATAAGACAGGGTGTAGACTCTGATCCCATGCTTTGGTATGTTGCTAGGCAAAGGGCAAAAGCTCTGTACTATCATTCAACAAGGTGTGCTGTCATTGCACAATAACTCCATCCTGTGCACTGGGATGATTATAGAGTGCTATTTTCAGTGTGTAGAAGATACTTCATTTATGTATATTTTATTCTGCTGACAGGCAGAGGAAATAGCTGCTTGGTAAATGCCGTGTTATAGTAAGCGTATGGCCTATTTTTAGCTAGACAATAATGTGAAAGGTGCTGCTCTTTACAGGCCACTGTGGGAGTTCATGGTCTTGCATACAAAGGCTGGATGGGAGACTTGAAAAGGCCAATTCCTTGTTCCTGCTGTGAGCTGTGGGCATGCAGAATCCTACCTGTGCTTGAGAGTGAGGAAAGAGGAGTTCCTTGCTACATCTGAGACTGAAAGGTATATCTATAGCAAAAAGGTATACCTGTATAGCAAAAAATTACCAAGACATTTTGTGAGGAAATCCAGATTATGTAAAGGATAACACTGCTTCTTGGAAAAAATTTCTTATAGGAAGCAGCATGAAATTGTTTTCAGCTTCACAGTTACCTTGTTTGTTTTGCTAATCCTCACAAAGATTAATAAAGGAATGATGAGACAACAGCATACTGTAAGCACAGGAAGCAACAACTGCCTAAAGCATCTGGATATGATTATGTAAACACGATGTAATAAGAAAGCTGAGATATTTAACTTTTGAAATCTCCTTTATTCCCTTTAAAAAAATGTCCTTTCAGAATACTTACCTTATTCCCAAGTAGCCTTTCAGTTGTTAAAGCACTGCAATTTTCATTCAAGCTCCTTACTACTCATGATAAATCTACTCTAGATTTGATCTTTTATCCAAACTTTTCCTGGCATGTACTCTGCTATATAACCCTTTAATTTGAGAGAGGTGTGTTGTTAAATTTGAAGGGGACATTTTGTGTCTAACTGCTATATGTACTATTTTCCTCCAACCCACTAGTAAATGAAATAAATATTTTGAACTTTTAGTACATGGCATAGTTTCTTCACTGACACAGTGACCCCTTCTTTAAGGGCATGAAGCTGAACACTCTCCACAGTGAGCCAGGCTAGTCACACCCACAGTTAACTTTGCTACTCATTAAAATTCCCAAGGGATAAATATTTTAACAATACTGTTATATATAAGAATACTGTCATATATAAATGTTAGAAATTTTAATATTAATTCTACTAGTTTTTGGCTTTTTTCTCCCTTAGTAATTTCATTTTTTAATGATGCTAGCTGTGCGGGTTTATTTTTTTAGCCCTTTTTAGGCTTCAGTTTTATTAACAAATTACCTTAAATCTGCTCTTTGTATAGAATTTATACTAAACTCATTTTGACCTATTTGTCATTATCTCTTCATAGATAATCATGCAAGAGACATTGAGGAAAATGCAGAGGACAATCAACGCTTCAGTAACTTGAACACTTTATTAAAGCAAGAGAAATATGCACATTTACTGTCATTTTATACCTATCTGATAATATAGAATGACAGGAGAGTCCAGAAGGGAGAAGTAGAAATGGTTCATATTTGACATTTCTAAAACATTCCCTGTAATGTGCAGAAAATCCTGCTTAGCCTCAGTAGCTCTTAGCAGAACATGGTCACTGCAGAGGCCTCTTTAGTGAACTTATATCTCATATTTTAGTAGTACTAGGATAGGACACCAAAATATTTCATGGGGCCACCAAAAATATTTCTCCAGTGGTCAGAAAAAAAAAGCATTCTCTCTTTTGTTTTTTTTTTTTTGCTGTTTAAGCACAGGGCTTAAAGAGCCACGAATGACACATGAGGCCAAACACAGACTCTGTTGTCTTTTTTTTTTTTTTCTTTTCTATTTTTTTTTTGTCCTAAGCACCATTTAAGCTGAATTTTTCCAAAAGGAAACACATAAAATGAGGCCGAGACAGATGTCTGGCAGGGGTATTTTCAATTCAGTTTGTTGGAGTATGATAAGGTTATAAACAACAAGAACAGTGTTTCCCTTGACCAACTGTTAGTCAACCATAACATCAGAAAGTCAACTAACTTTGCTCATAATTGTAATAAGGAACTACTGACTGCCAGACTATTACATTTTTGCCCATAATATTAAGTTATAATAGATAATTACAAGTGTCAAGGTGGGCAGCTGTTTCTTTGAATGAATATTGCCCTTTCATTTTTTTTTAATTTATGTAAGATACCAAAAATGTTAAAAATGAGTAGTCATTCATTATATAAAGCAGCAGCTGAGCAGTAGGTGGAGTAATCATTGCTTTTTCCTACTCCTAAGTAAACACACATACAGCTTCATTTTTAAAATTCATTTTATTTTGGTGTCAAAAAATGGGATCTCTAATGACAGAGTTTCAACTAGTAAATCTTCTTTGCAGTTTTTCTCTTTAATCTTGAAAGCTGATGTAGTTCATTCTAATTGCCCACAGCATCAGCTTTATTCTCTTGAAAGAACTTGCTCTCCTTTTAGTTTTCCTTTAATGTTTGGAGCCCTTACCAGGAATGGTAATCTTCTTAAGGTGTTAGCAGGAGACACAGAATGCACCAAAACTAAACCTCATATCTAATGCAGTATCCCATTATCAGGATCACCCAAATGACTCAGTTTGTCATAGATGCAGCATACTCCTTTATATGATTTTGTAGAATTAGAAAGGAAAGAAAACTTGGGGGATTGATTAGTCAGGTTAGAAAAAGGTTATGAAGATCACTGTACCTAAGTAACAACAGTTTTTTAGTTTTTTAATACGTCCAGGTCTATTTATTATCACAGCTAGCCAGTATATCTGGGTTATTTGATTACACGCAGACATTCTGGTTCTGGGTTCCACACCTTATGCTGAGGAACCCGTAATTTACAACAATCCTTTTCCCAAACTCCCCTCTTTCTGCAAGCTGGCACTGGATCCCATAGAGACAGAAACCCTAGGGGAGCTGTGAGATGCTACTGCACATCTTGGTTATAAACATTTCCTCTGACCATGGCTTTGCAAGCTGAAGCCTCCACATACTGCAACACGTTGTCCAGGCTGAGCCATGGAAACCTGCAGTTGTTACCCTACAACAGGATGGAGAGAGCAGAGCACCCTCCAGGAACTGGTCTGGAGATGGCTGGTCTGTCCTGCAGTAAGAGCCCAAAAATCAGGTGTGACTGTCAGCCTCACTGCTGATTTCTCTCTGTAAAAGCCCAGAATGGGGATGGCTCTGGAAACTCTGAAGCATTTTGATTGTTTCAGCACAGGTTGGGAGTTGCCGTTGTAGCACCTATTGAAAAAACAGTGGTTTGCATCACAAGAGTGGGATGAGACATAGCGATACTTGAGCTAAGTCACCACTGCTTCCCGGCACAGTTCAAGGTGTTGACTGGTCCTGGAGTAGCTGGCATCCTGCCTGGGGAAAGATCACTTCTTTCACCATCTCCTACAGTAGTGATTCTAATCTGCCAGATGAATCTTTCCTTTCCTAGAGCTGAAATCTCTGTGACTGACAGAAGATCATATTTGGAGGCTCCACTCTTCTGAAATTGGCTTATTCTGGAAGTCTGCCAGTGTCACAGCCTGGCAAAGCAGAGGGATCAGAATTACACTTGGCTATTCACTCAGTCTTGTGAACTGTTGCATCACCGCTGCAGGATGTTACAAGCTTTTGAGTTTAAGGGACAGCTCTTTGCTTTAGTCTTAGTATTGTTTTCAATAATTTCCACATATGTAAGATTGGAAAAAATATTCACTTCTCAGGTCTACTGCACTTTGAAAATGTAAAACGTCTCTGTTCAATAACCATTTCTCCATCTTAGCTGAAGAAGCCACAGGGAAAAAAAAGAAAAAAAGCCCAGCATGAAATCCCAGGAAGCAACAGACTGAAGACACACATAGAAAGATTAGATGGCAATAGTTATTCATTCATGCCTCGTGAGACAAATAAAACAACTTTACATTCATTTCCTCCCCACACCTCCACCCTTTTCTAAGGTTAACAGAAAGGATTCCTTTCGTACAGAAGTTATTTTAAGATCTTGAACAACTTAGAGTTCTAACATCTTTTTCCATGTGTATAAATAACCCCACCTGTTGCAGTATCATATATATGTGATCATTAAAATAGATACAAGTAAAAAACAGTAGTATACATTTCAATCTAAAAGTGATTCTAGGAACAAAGCAGACATGACTAGCAGGCTTTTCCTTTTTCAAAAAGATAAAGGGGATTGTCCAGATTGAGGTGGATTTTCCAGAGTCAAAAATCTATCATACACCCATCAACATTGTAAAAGTTAGTGGAAATTGAAAAAAAAAAAAAACAAAAAAAAATCAAATATTGTTTCAGCTTCACAAATTAATGTGTTCCCTTTTTACTGTTGCATCTAAAACAATTACAGTTCTCCAGGAGTTAACAAAGTGCTTCTCCCTCGTTTTCCAATAGAGATCTGAGACACAAACTGAGAAAGCTCCAAGTTATTTTGCGATAAAGTCAGCACAAAACATGAGAAGACACAGCATCTGTGTCAAACTTTGCAGGCTGTTTCTAACTACAGATGAACAGCCATACTGCAGAAGAAAGAGATCTGAGACTAAGCTTTGTGCAAATTGTTCTCAGTGAACTACAAATCCATGGTGCAAAGGTAGTTATTTTAAAGTTATAATTTGGCTTCTTTGGTGATCATATGAGGTTTTCAGCACCTAGAAATCCTTCGCTTATGAGAGTGTCTGAATGAAATGTTGTTACTGACGTAACAATTATCTCCTCACCCCATAGCTTTCAAGTTATGACTTAATGTTGAGAAAACTGTGGGCAAAGTGAGTGAAATAACTTCAGTACCTTCAAAGGATGTGGTTAGAATAGTCTGCAGGGGTGGGAAGAGAGTTTTCCTTTGCAGTTGGTAGAGCAGCAACAACAGAGTGTCTTTCAATTGCTTCTGTATTGCAGCTCAGGGCTTTTAGCCCCTGTCTGCTGCACCCACACACGATCTGGTACAGACACTTAAAAAGCACATAGCAAGCTCTCAGCTCAAGGAGTCCTTTCAAAGCAAGCTTCAGTCACCCAGGGGGCCAGCAATCTGCAGAGGCTGCTTTTTCTATCCCTGAGATGGAGCACCACATTGGCTCTGCTGCACTGGGACCACCCTATGCCCATGGTGAAGGAATAGGATTTGCTTTTCATTAATTCTGTTACTATAAAAAATTCCTGTAGGATATTCTGTAGTTAGAGCACTGAATCATTTCTGAAACTTCTTATTCAAATATTTGTTTTATATGGCAATGGTATTAGTAATGTACAAGTTTTATGCACTGCTATTTCCTCCCACACCCATTGAAAACTAACAAGAGCCAGCCTGTCAAAATAAGCATGTGAATTATAGAACAGCTATAACATGCTTCAAATAGCCAGTGTTCCAGCCTAGGTGATACTACATAACTCTGCTTTCCCTCTGTTTGCAAAACTGCACAGTCTACACTTCACAAAAAAAAAGCCTACAAACTGAAGTCTGGAATTATCCCATCTCATTGAAGATACTCAAAACAGATGCTTAATAACAGAGAATTTTCACTTATTGTTGATGCAGAGACAGAAAATTTCCTTTTAGCTCAGCTAGTATTTAAGTTACCCTTAAGGAGAGCCACTGCTGCTACTGACAGAGCCCAAGGTGACTCTGATTCCGCTTAAGTTCCTCAGGTACATACTTCATTTTCAAGAAGAAAAGGAGACAAGGCTACCTCTGACCCCGCTAAAAAATTTGCAGGAAGGCTGAGCTCACTCTTTCTACTCTGACCTTTTTTTCATAGACTGCATCCCCTTGGAGGTGGGCTCTGGCATTACTCTGTGGTGCCAGCTGCTCCCAGTATTGGACACCTAATACATACATTGTCCTGTAGGTAATATTCAAAGTGATCAGGAAATGGGAGTAAATAATGTGCCTGCAATGTTTGCTCATGTGAGGTAATAAAAAGGAAAACTCACTCTGAGGAGCTACACAGGGGCCTTATGCTACAGAACAACTGTAGTAAAACGGCAGTGGAAATCCAACATTGATAAATGCAAAACTATTTACAAGAGGGAAAATAACCTGAACTGCATGACCCAACAATGCACTCTGATCATGGAGGGGATGCAGAAACATTGGAGTTATTAATACAGCCATAGGCACAGACTGTCACATTCAGCATAGCAATTAGTAGTGATCAGAAATGCAAGTAAGTATCAACAACTATTATAAAGAAATACAGAACCAACAGTGTGTCACTATAAATCTATACAGTTGCTATATCCTGAATACTGAGAAGGTTTCCAGTTTCCCATCCCAAAGGGTATAGCAGAAGCAGAAAAGAAACAGTGAAATGGGATCTTTTATAAAAGGAATTATTAAATAGATGGAGATTTTTTCAGCTGGGAAAAGCAATGGGATATAATACAGAGCCTATAAAATCATGAATGACAGGGAGAAAGTAAGTGCAGATTTACTATTTGCTGCTTCTTCTAACACAGTAAGGGGGTATAAAATGAAATTAGGAGGTTTGAATGACACAAGTTCAAACAAAAAGTAACTTCTTCATATATATATAATTAAGTTATGGAATGCCTGGCCACAGGATGCTGCAGTTGCTAAGAACACGTGAGGGCTCAAAAGCAAATCAGAAAAATCTGCTGTAGAGAAATCCACTGATGGCTATCAAATAGAAAGGAACTGCTACTGGTTCAGCAAGCAAATGGGCTGCAAATGACTGGGAGAGGAGTTGAAGAGACCACTCTGAGCCTGTGCCATGTGCTTGCACTGTTCTTGTCCTCTGCCACGGACATTCTCTGTTGCCCTGTGTGTGAGAGAAGACACTGTGCGCGATGGACCACTGTTCTGACTTTGTAAAGTCATTTTATGGTGTTGGTGTCCCTGCAAAACTCCTATGGTTCAAAAGAAGAAAAGCTCATTTTAAGTAAGATCACATATCTTTTTGTCTGGTCAATGTCATCACTTAAGTAAATGGAGGGTAAAAAAATGCTCATGGAAATCCAAACAGGAAGCACTTTGCAAACAAAGAGGCACAGGCTGGTGCCTGCAGAGCTGCTGCTCTTCATGCTCCATGGGACCTGAAAGGGACCTCTGCTACATTCAGCCAGAAGGACAATGACTTGGTTTTTCTTTTTTTTCCTCTCTAGATAGGGGCAGATCTGATGCTTATCGTTTGAAGACTGTGACACACCTGGGTAGCAGCAGCACAGAACTGCCAGAATCATGACAGTAGCTCTTTCTGGCTAATGTTCTGATGATAGCCAGGCCAGCACTCCAGGAAAACTCTCACATTTTAGTGCTCACACAGACTTCAGTCTTCAGTGCCAGCAGCATGGTTACACTGAAAGTGTAGCATGAAGCAAGGCTTTGTTCCAAACAACACAGAACCGGCTCATCCAACCAGCCCTACCTCTGGGTGTAGGGTGACCTTCACGATTAGCCTTTTAAAAGCCTTTCACTATATATGGCACTTTCAGTCTTGGCAAGATAAATCTGAAGGGGGAGCAAAGGGATGTCTCATGATGCAAGTACTAAGGCATTCTTGGATTTTCAAGAAAAAATACACAAAACAACTTCCTGACTCAAAGAGAGCTGTATCTGGCATGGGAAACTTCTACATTAGACCTCATCCTGACAGGGACGTATTAATCACACAATTTAGAGTTTGTTTAGGTGGAAGTTATAATAGCTTCATTGCAATGACTTTGCTTTCCGTGTTTTTAAAATGCATTTTATGTTTTACATGCAAGCTGGATAAAGTCCTAACCAGTAACATTTATATCATTGCCCTGAAAGATCCTGTTCTACAAAACTCAGGAAAATTATGAGATGTATCAGCCAAGCTGGAGGAGAAAATTATTTAAACCAACAAAAATGTGAATAATAATTTACTCAGAAGAATTTCATTAGATCTTCAAAAAGCCACAATTGAGAAAGATGCACACACCTGGCTAAAACCAGTCATCTGAGGAAGGACTGGAGAAAGTTAATATTTTGCCAATACTTCTGTAGACAAAATAGGGCAGACAGGTAATTATAGGCCTGTCAGTTTGACATCTATTCCAGGCAAAGTGATAGAGTTGCTGATAGGAAGGACAATTAATAAAGTATTAAAACAGTGCAATTTAATTAATGGCAATCAACACAGATTAATGGAAGAAAGATCTTATCAAATTAATGTGCTATTTTTAAAAGACTACAAATTTGGTGGATAAAAGGAATTGTGGTAATATTTTATACTTTGACTTTGGATGCATTTGCTATACAGTTCTGTGAGTGATTCTGACGGAAAACAGAACTAACATAATGAACTCTCCAAAACAACTAACTTGTTTTAAAGCTGACTAGCATGGGATCCAACACCCTAACCTAAAGTGGGGCTCAGTGAGTGGGTTCTGAAGGCACTGCTTACCAGCCCCATGTTAATGATGATTCCAGCAGTACAGAAGGAAGCAGCGCCTTTGTTATTACTATTTTTCAAGGAAACAAAATTTGGACTTGGGCAGAAGTGGACAATGCCTTTTTGACATTGTTTGAGGAGCAGGTGCAAAAGAAATACCAGGTGTTTCCACATCACTCAACATAAAGGACCTATTTAAGAACAAGTACCTCAGGCCTTACTTCACATAAGGATTCTTCTTTGGGAAGCTGAGGCTGAAGAATAAATTGTGGGTCCTGATAGACCCCCAGCTGAGCCCCAGAGCCCTCTGAAATTGTGTTGCCAAGAAGACCTGTGCAATCTTTTTTGGTGTGCAGAGATGCTGTCCATCAAAGGGCAGTAATGGGTTTCTGTT